CAACACGTTACTGCTGATGGTTCTATTGTACCAACTGATGATGAAGGAAAGCCTCTCGGACCTGACGGAGACGTTTTACCAACTGATGCTTCCGATAACTACATCTATCCATCTGTGGGACCAGATGATGAACTAGAGCAAGCTGAAACAACATCAGCACCACCAGTCACAGTTGTAGGACCTGATGGTACCCCACTAGTAACCGATGCCTCCGGACAACACGTTACTGCTGATGGTTCAATTGTACCAACTGATGATGAAGGAAAACCACTCGGACCTGAGGGAGACGTTTTACCAACTGATGCTTCTGGTAACTACATCTATCCCTCTGTGAGACCAGAATCAGTTGTTGAGAACGATAAAAGTACAAAATCGTTGGTGGAGTGTAGGGTCAAAGGCTTGAAATCTGATATTGTGATCGTAGTTGAGAGCGGAGGTTCTGAAAAGTTCCAGAATGATTCTTTGAAAAGTATTGAACAGTTTTTGGAAGTATTAGATTTGTCACCTGATGTCACGAGACTTGGGGTGATACTAGCTGCTGGAGAAGTTCTCGTTCCGCTACCATTGGGTGGATATCAAGAAAAAGAACATTTGAAATCTATTCTGATTGAGGCAAACGTTTTCCGAGACGGTTCCGATTTGCCTTTGCACATAATTTCGACTGCCACAATCCAGCAGTTCAAAACGTTTGTCAGGGCGGACGCACAGAAAATTGTGATATTCCTCACTCCTACCAATCACAGGTTAGTTGATACGAACGGACTTCGCTAAACATTTTTTTACAGAAGTCTTTCGGCGGTTGAGCATGCTGCCATAATCGGAATAAACGATGTGAGCGATGAAACAGTTATTCAGAAATCGTTAACTGAAGCCTGCATGCGTGGTGATATAACGCTTGAAAGAACAGCCGAACGCACTGTGAATGATCCCAACAGACTTTCACACAATAGCTTCCCAACTTTATCAATTTCTGAAGAAAGAAAAATAGAGAATTTGAAAACTGATGAAAGCGGAAATGTTATCTATCCTGTTATTAATCCAGATGGAAGCCCACTACCAACCGATGCTTCTGGACAACACGTTACTGCTGATGGTTCTATTATACCAACTGATGATGAAGGAAAGCCTCTTGGACCTGACGGAGACGTTTTACCAACTGATGCTTCCGGTAACTACATCTATCCATCTGTGGGACCAGATGATGAACTAGAGCAAATTGAAACAACATCAGCACCATCAGTCACAGTTGTTGGACCCGATGGTACCCCACTAGTAACCGATGCTTCCGGACAACACGTTACTGCTGATGGTTCTATTGTACCAACTGATGATGAAGGAAAGCCTCTCGGACCTGACGGAGACGTTTTACCAACTGATGCTTCTGGTAACTACATCTATCCTTCTGTAGGACCAGACAGTGAACTCGAACAAACCGATGCGACAACTGCACCAACAGTCACAGTTGTAGGACCTGATGGTACACCTTTGCCAACTGATAACAATGGAGCGTTCATTGGACCTGATGGTGAAATCATTCCAACTGATGCCAGTGGACGTCCTTTGGGCGAAGACGGATCACC